GCTCCTCATCCGCCTTGATTTGAGCACTAAGAGCTTGCCTAGTAACTAATAGCTCCCCACTACATATTCCACCTTTTTACCATCATTAACCCCTTCTAATTATGACCTGTCATCATAGTCACCATCACTTTCGCTCACCACTTCTTCGTTTCGCAAAATCAATGGGAAATTGAGAAGCAATATGCCCCAACCTCAAACACCTAAATCATTTGATGTCACGACTCCTAGATGGCTAGGATTTCACTTTGGGTGTAACGTTGCTAGCACTTTCCTCTTTTCCCCTTAGTAGTTCAAGAATACACAAATCAATTAGATTGCATAAGTCGAGAATTGAACATGGGATAATAATAGGTGGATTCGAAATTCTGATGCATGATTCACATATTGACTTAAAAATGCGATTAGATAATGAGTAGATTAAGTTAGAAATAAACAAAACAATCTCTCGTGTTAATTTTATATTCTAATTTGATAACGGATTAGTATAATTCAATTTAAAGTTTATTTCTCGTGGGACAATACTATTTACACATTACATTACTACTAGTCAACAATCTCGTATACTTATGAGATTTTACCGAACCATACAATTTACCTGGAGTTTAGATGGTCATCTATACATGTAACATCGGAATCACCATCACATTCTTCAATGAAATCTGAATGCATTTTTATACATTAGACAATATATATATATATACCTGAAACAGCATGGAGAACATATACTCTAATTTGTGTAATCATTCTTTATAATTTTTTTTTCCAAATCATTATATGTAAAGTGAGTAGCAGTAAATATATCATCTTGACTAAAAAGTTAAGAATGAGGCAGACCAAAGGAAAAGTGAAGGGAAAAAACATTTCTGTGATATAATAATTTATAAGGAGAATCAGAGTAGTCAAGTTGTACTACACAGAATTAGTTATATTATTGAAAACTTCACTAATCAAAATGAATAAATACACAGATATAAAATCAGGTTTATAATATTTCGTACCGATAAAGGTTGATAGAAATTTAAATTTCATCATTAAAAGTTTAGACTCTCCAAAAAATTACAAAACAATTACGGCAAATATGCATTTCTTTGTGAGTGTGTTATAATTTGGGCAACCTTCTTTTAATAACTTTCAAAACATTTCAGTAACCCCTCTGAAATTATAAATCAAGTTTGCTGGCAAAAGGATTCCGACCCATTTCTTAGAAATCAAGTTTTCTTCTTCTTCTTTATCTTCCCCTTCTTTGAAAAAATAACTAAAAAAATTAGTATGGATGCATCCAATATAAAATGTACACAGTGGAAAGAAACATTTAGAAGAAAAGAAAAGGATGAAGTTTAGTTGTGGTGCAATCATTGAAATCAAGAATAATTATATATATATAATTAAGTATATAATCGTAAATTTGTTGTGGTGGTAATATAATTACCCATTGATTAATTATCACCATACATCAAATAATGATATTATTTTTACAACTTTTTTAAGTACATATTTTTGTTTTAGATATCCAAAATTATCGAAAAGTATAACTGACTTTTAGCATAGATGCCACTTGTTTGTTCTGACCAAGTCTACATTTAATTAAATATGAAACCTCATAAGTATAAAAAATATTGAACTTGAAGACTTAATTTATTTATGTCTATCAATTATAACAAATTGGTTGCGACTGATTCATTTTCCCAATGATTAGCAAGTTAGACAATCAACTATGACATCGCTTGGTGAGTTACAAGAAAACGTACAAAAAATGTTAAGAAAATTTATTTATTTACTTAACTTGTAAATCGTTGCAAGAGTATTGATCAATTCAAGAAGCAATTATTTGGGGGTTTTATAAACTTAATCATATAAAAATTCCATTAAAAGAAAAAAAGGGGTAAAAATGTGGATACCATTAACTAAAATCTTGGTCATTCAATTGGTCTCAATCATATTGCTAAAGTTGAAGAAGTCCACCTTGTTAAGGTTTGAATGGTGGAATGTTGAGCTACGTAAGAACAGGGGCAGGGCGTTGGATGAGAAATTTTTTCTTTGCATGAATTTTGAATTATCTAAGGGCTCGTTTTACATGACTTTTAAAAAGTCAAAATGAGTTTTTGAAACTCAAAAGCTACTTTGAACCCATTTGACGAATTTTGTAAAGTGCTTTTGGTAATGAAAAGAGCGTTTAGACGAAATTGGTTTAATGTGACTTCCTCTAAATGCACTATCGAAATAAGAAGTGCTTTTGAATATTACTTTTTGAATAAAAATTACGGTAGCTTCCTCCAAAAACTATTCTACAAGAAGTAAAAGCAGAAAAAAAAAAGCTATGCTAAATAAACACTTAAAAAAGATAGTTAACGAGAATTATTAGTTCATTGATTCAATATTTAAATTGATGAAATGTATGGTTGAGAAAAAATGAGGTGCCATGAAACGTATGATTAAAATTAATTGTTAACATTCACTTGAAATTTAATTCAAATTTTAAATTGAACCAAACAAGTGCTATAACTCCAAATAAGTGTCAATACTCAGGTGGGTTCGAGTACATGCGACTCTCGTGCCATCACTACCTCCCTTAAAATCCCCACACAGGTAAGCGTTAGTCCTATACATGGTCTTATGATTTTGCAAAACATATTGTTCAGGGTTGTCTTGGTTTCTACAGTTTATTAGTAATATGCTGCCCAATAATCTCAAATATATTGACTTTTCAAAATCTATCAAAATCTCAGTCGAGGACACTCCCTCGATTTGGAGACCTGAAATTTACTGGGTCCAGTTAACACTTCCCTAATGATGAAATGCATTGAGCATGTTTCCCCCACAGTTTCCAAATTAGGTGAGAACAGAAAGAAAATTTCTCTCATTTTTTGTCAATCACAGCATTAAAGTAATAGATAGTTCATAAGACCAAGAAACTGCTGCTACAGAAAATTCAATTTATACCATGAAAAAGTAGCAAAAATTTGATACTAACTTTAACAAGCAATTGCTTCGAAGTAGAATAGCAAAGGAAAACCCGTAAATAACATTTTCTAGCATTAAACTGGCAATTTTTTTAAATGGAAAACCGTTAATTTTTCAAGCTTTAGCTTGCAAAAAGTTTATGAGAAAACAGGACACGTTGTTTCAGCAATGACTGAAGTAGAATGGTAAAGGGAAAATAGCACAGCGTTACAGTCTCTTGTGAAAGGTCCTAAAGGATATCAGCGTATACACGTCCTGTTTGTATCTGTAGGCAACTAGAGACAACCGCTACCTCGTCCAATGCAAAAGATTGATGTTGCAGACAAACATGAACTTTACTTTGGTGCATTATGAAGACGGAGTTGTAAATATGCATAAATTAATCAAGCAATCACTAGTTTGGATATTCGTAGCACAAGCAGCATCGAGGTCAACCACATGGATGATGGAAAAATAGTCCCCAATCACAAGGCAATGCAGAACTAAAAAGACAACTATGTTTACCGAATTATGGAAACATCCCAACAAATAACAATAACAGGTCAATGAAAGTAACATTAGAAAGTTCACTTTATAATTTAATCTGAATTGAATTAAAAAATGTGCGTAGAAAATGTCTAATCCAAGGTGATGGCACTAGAATATAGATTGTCATGGTGGAAATGCATAACTACATGAAAAACTCTGACTAACTTAAGTCGAATCTAAGTTTCTGCTCAGCTAAGTAGGCAACTTGCAAGCAACTTTTATGACATTGGAATGCAATACTGGAAGCAATTATAGCACACAGTATAATAAACAAGACTAGCTTTTTGTTTGGATCTTCAATCCTCTCCACCAAAAATGACATTAGGGTCAATACGCAGGTAAATTCAAACAATTCCAACTGCAGAGTGGTGTCCATGACTCACCCGACTCACACATCAACATTTGTTTGTGCGCTGTCCTCCCTCACACAATCCATAACTATGCTGCAACATCCCTGTCAAATATATTAAATATCTGTCTCTCTTTCTGTATAGATTCTTTCTTAATTGTTCTAGGTGCATGTGCTTGTAATCCCCCCCACCCCACACCTCTCTTGGTGCAAAGTTCTAACTCGTCCCAGATAGACTTCTAGTGTTCACACGTGTTTTCCCCTGTATTCCAATTTTCTGTAAGGCTGACCAAATTCTAGTTTGTTAAAATATAAAAACTCTGTAGCATGGGCATTTCAACTAAGACAGCATGTCCGGGTTTGACACGTATCGGATACCGATGCTCCTCAGACACTGCCTTGGTCAATTTTTTCTTTATCAAAAATATTATATTTTTTAACTCAAAACTATTATTAAATAATAAATAGGTACTCATAATTAAAAGATTCCAACAAGAAAAATTAATAACAAGTATAAAATTAAATTTATACTATATAAATAAAGAATTTTAAAAAATTTAATCAACGTGTCAATGATATACCGTGTCAGTAGCTTTTCGAAAAAATGTGTATCGGCCTGTTTGTGTTAGTGCTTCATAGTATAACAACAAAACTCCCTTTTAGCCTCTAACAAACGCAATGAACAAAATAGAAAATACTTCACTTCCCAAGAAGCTAAGTAACTAATGAGCTAAACACAAAGCACAATATAATATACCTTTCATACACTACCTACGACCATAGTCATCAATTCCACCATGAAATACTTCTAATTTATAGTCCATGCATGACTTATCAACACCCTCAAGCAGAATATCTGGGTTTTCTCATTTCATATGAACCTTGAGCAAAAATCTTTAGTTTATTTACCATCGCCAAAAGTCTTTAACTTAATCTTCGCTTTCTTAACTTCAAAAGGGGGTGAAGGACAAAGGAGCAGATGAAGTCATTTTCGACTTATAATTTTTCTTAATCTTTAATTTTAAAACTACATTCTCATCCAATAAGATGGCACCATAGTCAGAAGAAAACAATCTTTCTTCTAGAACTAAAGGCTTCAAAAAATATTAAATCTCAAAACATTAATAACGGTATATTTGTGTAATAGAAGAAAAACAGCATGTACTGATAAAAATACATAATTCTACAATTCTGAAATATAATATTCGTTCGAGTACACATGTAACAACAAAGAATCATAGGATGCATGACCAAGTCACCCTCTACATAATGACAATGTAATTTGCGACAGGAGATAACCAACTCTATGAACATCGAGATAAGAAGCTAAGAAAGGCTATATCAGATAAGAAAATTTCAAATTTGTCACAGTACAAGAGTGGAAAAAAATAATCAGCTTTTGCCCAATGCATATTACACACATCAAAATTGTAGTTGTAATAACATTTAATGCTCACTTTTGTAAACGCAACAAGTAGACCATACCCGTTTGCAGTAATTAGTAACGTAAACCATGCCATTGCTCTTCAAACGAGAGATTTTCCTTTCAGAGTCGCATCTTAGTTAATTTTACACATAAGGGACGGTCTATCACTTCTTGCCAGCATCCCAAATGCCATACATCTTTGCAAATTCCAAACACAGTTGATGATCCCTTGTATCTCCCCAGCCCCCCCAACCCCTAAAGCCAGCTTTATAACCATCTTGGTTCTTATATACATGTACTCCCCAGCTTGATTGAATATTGGGAACTCTATCAATGTCTTCTAATGCAATATTCACGGCACCATTATCAATACAAGATGATTTCTCATCCTGACCCTGATGCAAACCGCATTTTCCAAAGTGAACAGCACTAGTTCTAGGCCCCCGTAACGTGTAAACCGGTCCCCCAAACGAAGGATAAACCTCGACCCACATAGTTATATCCCAATTGTAATCATCAAAAGAACAAAATTCTCTTGCCTTTCTATGTATCATTCTCCATACAGTTTGGTTAAATGAGTAACCCACATTTCCCATCCTCTCAGCTATCAAGCTATCCCAACCCTCACCCCTCGACTTAACATCAGATGGTGCCAGATTTGCAGCATAACAACTGGGACACTTTTCGGGCTTCAGTTTCGTTAATAACTGCAAATTACGGTACGCATTAGGATAAATGAAATGGTCCTCTTCTATGAAAAGAATATGACCCGAGTGCAGGGTTGTCTCCTTTAACCCATCCCATACCGTATTCATCATCCACCACCAATGATGCTTCAAGGATACAATCTTTGGTGACCGGTGGTTCCCATACTGATCAGGATTTCCCTTACACTTATCCTTAATGGAATTCTGCTTATCTCTACAATCCATTGGTGAAATGCCCGGAAAACTATCAGGAAACACATGAGGAGAAAAGGGAGCAAAAATTTGTTTTACTCGACAAAACTTAATACCATCTACAATCTTATTCATCTCCTCAAAGTAACCATCATGACTAATAATCAATAGAGTTTCACTAATTCCCGTAACCCGGGATAGGCTATTCACAACTGCTTGTAGATATTGAGGGCGGTTATGAACATACAAAACAATGACTATATGATCCTTGGCTAAAGTGGGATATAGATCCAAATTCCTCGGGGGCATTTGATTACGCTTTTCCAATGAAATTGAAAGCTCATTCTGTTTAAGAAGCTTCAAATTCTCCCCAACAACCTTAGTAGATCGACGAGTCGCTCCAAAACTTGCATCAGTATCGTCTGAATAAGTGAAACTTAAATCTGAAACTGAATTTGTCCTCAATACCATCACCAATAACAAAACCCCAGATAGAGTAATCAAAACTACTGATAATAAACGACGAAAAGCAACATCTTTGATTCTGGGTTTTCTGGACGGAATCGCCATATCTACGATCTCTACAGTACCGTTGTACAACCCGCTTTGATTCCAAGAAAAGAAATGGGATTCTGAAATTACTAACAAAAGATCAAACGAGTGAGAGGTTGAGAATTAAGAACCTTAAAATCAACGACTTGCAAAGTTGACTCATCTTATAAATCCGAGAAAAATCACAAAGTATTTTTTTTTTTTTGATGATCGTGGTGTCGGGCGGCCTAAGTGCACGTCGATTAATTTCACGGGCCTGAAGCTTACAATCGGGTCGAATTGATGATTATTGGGGAAAAAATCCAAGCCTGACCACCTACCTGGGTTCGAAAAATCACAAAGTATTGAACAACCCGTCAAAAGAACACCCCCAAATGAGTAAGAAATTTTGATATTCAAAGATTTGTTTTTTATTTCTTGGAAACACGTTTAAGAAGAGAGAACGGCCCAGATTTCTGATTTGCTACAGGAATCGTTCTGTGGCGAAAGTGGAAAATTCTCAGCAAATCATAGTTGACTTTGCTGGGACTCCACCATAGTCAACTTTACACAAATTCATGTAAATCTATTGTTTGGCTTTCCAAAACTGTGGGCAATTTATTTGTGCCCTACTTCTTGTCACTAAGCCCTATTTTATTTACGGAAATATATGGAAATAACATTTTCAAAAGGATTAGTTTTCCAAAATAGCTCTTAGACAATTTACATATCAAAAAGGGGAATTTGATAAAAAAGCCCAGTCAAACAATGTTATTTGTAAAATAACCTTCCTTCAATGTTATTTGATAAAATAGCCTCCACTTACAAAAAACAATAAACAAATAAGATCAAATGTCTAAAATATCCTCACCATTGAAAAGACTCAAATACCCATTTCAATCCAATTAAATCCCTCAAATCATCAGCAAAAATCAGTGGACGGCTTTCCTGGTGGATGCTTCCTTAAAATCTTGTTATTCATTGCATTCTTCATCTATCTTCTCTAATATTTTGAGCATTTTAACAAGGATTTTGGTGTCTACATTATCCACATTGAAATTTCTACTATATTTAAAAAAAGAAGAAAGGTATTTTTAGAAATCTCATTTATATTGATATTTTTATTGTTGAATATAGTATAAAATGATATTTTAGTTGATTTTATTTTCGCATTTGGTGTATATTTGCATCGTCCACAACTATTGGACGATAACGACACTCCAGTCGTTATTAGTAGTTCAGAACGACACTACAGTCGTTATCTACCATGTAAAACGATAGTACAACCGTTATCTGTTATGATCAGTCCATTATTGATGATATATTGTGGTTACTTTGATCATTCAAATATGGTAACTATTTTCATATTACTTTGATATATACTTGAGTAAATTATTTAACTTTTTTTTTTTTTTACAGGTATGGATTCTGTAGAAATGATATGGGTACAAGTATGCTATTTTGTCGAGTTTAAAAAGACTGAAGAAAGCAAATGGACATGGGATTATATAGGAAACGGTGAAGAAAATGTGGATATTCTTTACGTTCCATCTAGCATTTCGTATATAGAGTTGTACAACAAAGTGCAAGAACTTGTTAATGTGGATTCAAAGTTATATGAAATTGAGATGATGTCCCTTAATCTTGGAATGTCTAAGTTTTCAGTTCCACCACAAAGGATTAACAGTGACATGAAAGTGAAGTGGTTTCTTTCTATTTGTAAAAAACATCCTCTTTGCGTGACTATTTCGACTAAAGTTACAGGTGAATGTGATAGTGTAAGAGAGTTTGAAAGAGATTGTGGAGTAGAAACTAATGGTGAAGTAGAAAAGGGAGATGTGAGCCATCAAAATGAAGTTGAGCGATATGATGGCGATCATGGAAATGATAACGTAGAAGAAGGAAACTCTGTGGATTGGGATAACTTGCATATAATTCAAGGTAGTTCCGAACAACAAGATTTCGAAGATAAATCTCCTCCGAGAAATGAAAACAATGTTGATTTCTCCATGGAAGAGGACATTATTGGTACTTCAACACAAGTCCTGTGTTCAATTCCTTATAGATCATCAGTTAGGATTCCAGAAAATGAGGATGTACATGATGATGAACTATTTCCAACTAAAAGTGCTTTGATATCAAAACTCCAGCTACTTGCCGTGAAGTACCAATTTGAATTTAAAGTGAAGAAATCAAATAAGAGTGTTTATACAGTCGTTTGTGTTGAGAAAATTTGTAACTGGCGTTTACGGGCAACGAGCATAGCTGAATCTGAGATTTTTCAAATACGAAAATATTCTAGCCATCACATTTGCTCTATGAGTGTTCGTCGCAGGGATAATAGACATGCTACCTAGTTTAAATGATTTTAGAACATATTACCATGATTGCAAATGGAAATCCATGCAGAGAATACGGATATCGCTGAGAAGTTGTATAACCCTTCAACATGTCTCCCAAATTACGTTTAAAAACCTTAATAGTGTACTCGTATGACTTTCTCCCCCATGAATAGTTGTTAAATCTATCGAGATCATCCACCAAATAAAACAACCATGGGTTAACAAATGTATTCTCCTCTGCTGCCAAAACCACGTACATCAATATGACGAGGAGGCCAACTTATATTTATCATTCTTATGCTTGCAGCGTTTGAAAACTTGTAACAATAAACCTCTCTTTATTTTGCCGTTGCTACGCTTAAAACGCTCTTTCACGAGTCTACAATTTTGCCCTAGCTTCGGATCCTCGTTCTCCAAATCCCCCGCTTTAAGCCCAGTCACCAGTGTGAATTCTTGCAATCCAAATCTTGCAAGCTTGTCTCCAACCTTAATAAATACTTCATTTTCTTTTGAGGTACTTATTGACCTCAGAATCAATTGGTGGACTAATTGGGATGCAAGTTTTATCTTTCTTAGGCATAACAAATGTCCAAAGCAGGAATTGGTTAATAGGTCCTGATGCTTTTCATCTAAGCTATAGAAAACTTCATCGATCAATTTCATTCTACATCTATTACTTATCTTCACGTTCACTATGTCTTCATCATCCATTTTTCCTATTGCAAAATGCAAAACAATAATTGAGTTAGCAATCTTATTTCTCAAAGCAATCATTTACCAAATTATTGGACAAAAATAACGACTTACAAGCTATTTCACGACTACACATAGAAAGCTCCAAGGCAACACAAAATTGTAGTAAAGCAATGAAACATTGTCAATTCAACCTCAAACTAATACCTTAAATGTGTCACAACTCTATAGTGCACTATGCAAAAAATGATTTACAAGTTAATATCAATGATTTGATATATAAATTGCTTTAGATAGTGTTCTATATACATGACTACTAACACACAAAAGAACCAAATGTCAAACGTTATCGGTTCATTTATTCGAAATTAGATAAATGCAGTAAAGTAAAGCATGAGGCCAACTCATATAAAAGTCACAAATACTACCCACTACTACTGTTACTACCAAAGTGACAAAATTTGACATTTCTAGAATCATTTTGACATCTCATATCAATTATGTACAATTTTTGTTCTTTATATACTCGAATTATGCACAACATTTCTACATGTGTAAAGATTAATTTTATGAATAACATGTAATCATGTCTAAAGTTAAAACCCTTTTGATCAAATCCCCAGGTCCAACGATTTGACTTCCATAACCAATCCTAATTATCAAATTGGAGACGACAAACTCTAGTGGAGTTTTCTTCCTTATTCATTTTCATCTGGTCTTGTACTAATTAGTGATTTTTAAATCAAATCATCACAAGGGTTGGTTATGTTAATGCTAAAAAACTATGGAGTAAAAAATGAGGAAGGGACATACTCCACATTATAGAAGAAAGATTAAAACTTAATGAGTAAAACAGTTGAGAATCACGTGCATAAATGACAAAATTATTGTTACCTTGTTCCTAAATATTTAGAAGATAACAATTTCATAACACAAATGAAACATTGCAATAGTGGAGTTCAAAAGGGACCTCATGCATCCCCTCCGCCACCAGCCACAAACCCCCCTTTTTTCTCAAAAAAATAAAAGCTACCATTTCAAAGGCAACCACTTTCATTTCTCAACATAATACATAAATCTCCTCACATTATAGAATCTGTACCTTAAATTTGTGTTCACCTTCACAGCCGCAGTAGCAAGAGAGGAATTTCCACAAACTCGTAGTTCCAAAACAAAGTCTTCGAGGCGGCAGGGGGGTCACTTCGCTCGCCTATGCTCGTCGTGCTCTTTTGCCAGGTTGATTTCGTGAGGTTTGTAGTGGATTTTGTGTGAGATTTTCTCAAAGGGGAAGAGAAGAGAGACGTTAATTTTTGAATTGGGGGAATAGGGTTTTACCTGAGGAAGAAACGAGGTGAAAAGAGGGAATATGGAAAGATTTTTGTGTTAAAATGTGAAGGATAATTTGGTCATTTTATTAATTAAACTATTTTGATTTTTTTTTTCTCCTCTTTTGTATTGGTCAAAGGCTATTTCACCAAATTCATTGCCCAGTCCGGCTATCTGGGCAAATTCCCCTATCAAAAAGCCCTCCATTTGAATATTACATAACAAGATATCATAATATAGAACTTTGCTATTTTAGTCCTTAAAATTAAATATTGGTTGAAATTTGATAATTTTTATTTGATTTATTTGATTAATATTTTTATTTGATTTTTGTTCGCTCTAAGTAGTCTCCCCTAATTGGTATCAGAGCCATAGAAATCATGAAAATTAAAATAAAGAAAATAGATAATTATTGGTGTTTAGAAGAAGAAAAAAGTCGTTATATATTTTTAAAACCTATTCATAATAAATTAAAAATAATGACTTCGACAATAATTGAAGAACTTTCTAAAGAAATAAAGGAACAAATATTAGAAAAATTAATAATAGAAAAAATAAACGATATTTATACATATGAAAAAATTATTAATATATATGAAGATGAAGAAAATAATTTATATTATAAAGAAAAATATGAGTACAATTAATAATACACATCAAAAATTGAATAAATTACTTTTAAAAATGAAAAAAAAATACAAGAAATAAGAAATATAATGTTAATACCAAAAGGAATGAGAATATCAAAAAATAGACAATTAACAAAATTAAAATGTGAAAGACTAAGATTTGAGAGCAAATATTTTACTATAGTAAAAGAAGAATTAGTAGATCCAGAAACAGTTGGAAGAAGATTTAGGAAAATAATAGATAAAAAGAAAAATAAAATATGTAAATTAACTTATAAGTTAGAAATAAAAAAAATTAAGATGTCAATAAGTGAATACATGGAAGAATTAAAATCATTAATAAAAATGTTAATAAATGATATACAAGATTTGAGAAATGAAGTAAAAAAAAACAAGAAACGATATAAATATATTAAAAATTGATATTAGAGAATTAAAAGAAAATAATAAAAATAAAGATAAGAAAATAGATAAAAGACTTATAGAAAAAGAGATGACTAGAATAGGAAAGAAACATATAGAAAAAGAGAAAATAGTGATAGAAACAGGAAGCATGGATAATGAATTTAGAAAGAATATATTACCAAAAATACTAGAAGAGGAAGAAGAATCTAGAAAAAAATCATTAGGAAA